GGGGGGGGGGGGGGGGAAGCATCTAGGGATCTGTGCAATAATTTCTTATGCTGCAAGATGTCAGTGTAGGTTCATCGGTTGAGAAAAACTGTCTCTGTCAAAAACAGTGTTTCTGAATGTTGTCTGGCATTTTGTCATTAGGGCTGTGTAAATTAAGAGCATTGAAAAAAAAAATGGATTGAAGACTGCTTGCCAAACCCAGGTGAGTTAGGACAAAATAACTAGTGCTCAATGACTCTGTTGGTCAATAGTATCTCTGCTGATAAGGAACTGATACAAAGTAAGGCCAATGCCTTTTGTTTTTTCTAGACCTTGTTATCCATCGGAATTCTGAATCACTGCTTTCAAAAGGTAGATCCTCTGTGCAACCGTAGGCCTAATTGCAACCTAGTGGATTTAAGCCAAGTATATTTGCATAATGCCAAGGACTTTGCCTTGAGACTGCTGGTGGAATCTATCTGGTGCTTTGTTTGTGGAACTGCTACTCGCAAACAACTTAGGCTTCAGAAAAGAACACATCTGAAGTTTCTCATTTATTCTGAGGAGGATGGGAAAACAAGGATGTTGCCTTCTCCCAAAGGACTTATTGGTATGCTGCCAAATAGGTTGTAATGTATTTTTCATCAATGCACCATGATGAATACCTACAGATTCATAATGATAGCCCGACAAGTCTGTTGAGAGCATGACTAAGATCAAATGAAAATGTTACCAATATTCATGTATGTTCCCAAAGATTTATTTCTTTACATTCAGTTTCAACAAAAAAGGAAACAAAATCTACAGTTTATTAACAGATCTATTGAAGTGTTAATTTACTCTCTTCTGCAACTTAAAGCTTTAGTATGTACTATTTAATAGTAGTATTATTATGTTTTAGTATGTACTATTTAAAAATATTTACAGCAAAAAACAATAACAAACCTTTCATTCTACTTCAAACTGAGCACTCAGGACCTGTAACTATGACATTTTATTTTTTTGACCTCCCAAGATTATTTTTGCAGCATGCAGTGTTTAGACGGTTCCTTACTATCTAACCTTTACACAATTTAGAAATGTTAGGAAGCAAAGTTTAATAGTATAGAAACTGCTTCCTGAAAAATATAAGCAGAACATTTATGTAATTCAAGGCTAGTTTCTGAAACCAACTGTAAACAAACTCTAACACCTGGCCAGAAAAACACATTATTTTTCAGATGATCCAATTTAGAGGATGTTGTCTTGTGAAAATGGAATGCTGAAAAACCTTATTGATTTGGCTGCATGGACAGTTAGAATGAATGCATTTTTTATGGAGAAGGAAATAAAACAATCATTTTTCCTTAAAGTACACAACCAAAATTTGAAATGATGTGCTCATCTGCTTGATCTATGTGCTTGGCATTCCAATATTCCTCATGTCTCTTAATAGAACTGGTCTGTAGGTTTGAGCCAGGCTTTCCATATATTCAACATAATCATTTACTTGAAATCCATGGAGTGCTTCTTCCTGCACATTGTACACAAGAAAAGGATTATTAGCTGAGGAGGAAAAAAAAAATAGCATGTGATATTAAGTTAAAGCATTCTATTTTTCAAAAGTAGCTTTTGAATTTTATTTTTTCCATTAATATTTACTTGGTTCTTTGGGGACTTTTAACATGCTAAGTGTACATTATGTGTACAACAGAGAAAGCTAGACCTTTCAGTCCTATATGGACAGAAGATGGAAAAAAAGAATGGAACTGTACAAGACTTCCAATAAGGAACAAATAAGGATTAGAATCAGTGGTATGATAGGTAAACCAGGATTATTTTTCTTTCTGAAAGCTTTTGTCCCCTAAAATCATAAAGCAATTAATATTCCTGTTATCTGACAGGTTTGCAATCACTTGCCATTTCCCATGAATGCATGGGAAATCTCTATGAAAAACCAGACTATAATGAAAGTAACCAATGCAGATACAGATGTTCCTTTGTTACAATGCTCATCTGAATTCCATTAAACTGGAAGAAGTCTGAGTGGTTTGAGATAGGGATATACAAGCTAATTTCCAATCAACTGTTGCACAGAGCTAGAGGTAGAGGTAATTAAATAGCCATTTTAATGATGCATTAGTCTGTTTTTATATAGTTAGCATTGTTTACTTTAATACAAATATTATATTCTTAAAAGTGTAATCCATAACCAGCTAAATCCAGAGTGGTTTAATTAAGCCTCAGCTGGAATCAGTATGTTGTGGATTTGATTCCTCAACCCTACCAAGTCAATTAAACCAGGATTCTATGCTTTTTCTTCAAATATTTTTCTTTTATAGAATATAAAAACTGGTCCTCCCAATTGTGTTCAGTATGGTTTTAATGAGAGCTTTACAATTTTTGACCTATAATTTGGCTTCTGTATCTTAAGAACTATGAAATCTTGACAGCTTGTCATTAGATGTTAACATAAGGAGAGTTGCTCTGGTATGTTGTCACCTACTACATAATGAGAACTATAAATTCTGCCACTGTATTTTAAAATTAATGTCAAAGATACTAAATTAATGGTATACTTGGCCACTCATATGAGAAGGCTGTTATGGATAGACAGCAGCTTAATAGTATGCTTTAACAATTAATTTGATATTTCTTATTTTAAAAATATTATTCTGCCTGGATATCAAATTGGGCTAATCAAGAATGTCAAAAGTTATTTCTTTTTCATACACAAAAGTCAAGTCTGGAATTTTAGTTTTATATTCCATTTGAAGATAAAAGACAGATATGCATCCCACATCAGGAAACAAGTTTTCAGAAAAGAAAAGAAAGTTAGATAGATTGGGGAAAAATATTGTACTACCAAAATAACGATCACCAAAACGACATATCCACTTCTTTAGAAAAGGTCAGCACTGAATTAGAATTTTTCAAAAAGCTCCTGGTAAGGTAGTAGTCCTACAAATTAGCATTTTCCTTTATACTTCTTTCTTGATCTGACATAGCCAATATAAAAACAAGAGAATGAGCTATGGAACAGGAAAACTCTGTTCAAACCTTACCTATGCCATGATCTCAAGAAAAGGCCTTAGGTAAGGTAATTCCTCTGTGCTGGTTCACTATTTCTAATATGATGAAAATATTTGACCAGTTTTTTTCAAGGTGTTCATGAAGCACTTTGAACATTGTAAACCAGATGCACAGATTTCCATGAAATCATCCCATTAACAGCCTTTATCCAGTTTCAGATACCTTCTGTTGCAACATAAAAAAATCTGAAAGCCAATCTTCCTACAAACAGGATTATGCAAAACTGCCTGGTTTATTTTAGAGCCAAAAGGTGTCTGAAATATTACAGACCACTTCCTGTTCCATGAAATTCTCTTCTGGAAAAGGAAAATCAGCTGTGGAATCCTTAGATCAGTGCATTCCAGGAAGGGGAAAAATGCATTCCAGGATGGACCATGCAGTTTGTAGGAGAGAAATCTGGGAACAAATGATTTTTTTCTCAGGACCTCATCCCACCCCACCAATGCTTTTTCTTTACTTTACCTTCATCTGTACAAATGACATTCTGGATAGAAATATTGGATGAAGAGTAAAGACACTCTCAAGCAATGCTCAATGTTCAAAGAGATTTCTTGGCAACCCTATGAAAGATGCTTGCCATTTTCTTATTTTATGAATACTAACCAAGTGCCCAACTCTGCCTAGCTACTCGAGATAGCGCTGCTGGTTAGCTGCAAATCACCAAACTGAGCAGCAATACTGAATATGGATCTATAATAGGTTGATATTTCTCCATAAGATAATCCATGTGTCTGTACACAGACACACATATTCAGTATAAATACAAATACAGTCTCCCATTTTTTTAAACCTTTCTCATTTTTTCTGATTTTTATTTTTAACCCTTTAAAGTTTTTGACATGATTTTGTTTCTTCAGTGACTTTGCAGCTGTGGAAAAATGCTAGGAAGAGAAGTAAACAAACCAAACACATACATACAAACACAAAAATGGAACTACAAGCTGCTGAACTCTTTCAAAAAAGGTACCGTATTTTTCCGACTATAAGACGATACTTTTTTCTAAAATCCTTACCCTAAAAACTGAAGGGCGTCTTATTCAA